AATTTTTGGGGCCGGAGCTGGTCGTATCTCGAAAAATTCGTAAGTAGGGGTGTTCGTAACTAGAGGTACCACTGTATAATTAGGCACAGGAGCCAGCAATCAAGTGGTATTAAATTTATACTACTTGAATTCTGGATTCACATGTCCTACTTCAAAACCAAACTAATCACATTACAGCTTAGCCAGTGGAAGACAGTTCATCACTATTAATTTTAAGAAATGGCAGACTGAGCCTAAAAACTAGGAATATTGTTATACTTTGATCTGGCTGAACAACCTTCTTGGATTGAGTTAGGCTTTCTGATGGAATCTCCAGTAGGCTCTGAGCTACTTCTAGATGACCACAGTTCCTGTGTGGGGGATGTGTTTTTTCTCTCTCTCATGTTCAATGTCTTTTGGCCCCAGGAGGTGACCTGGGGTTGGGCTCATGCAGTGATGTCTGGTTCTCTGAGGGAGGTGGCAGTCCCCACAGCCTTGAAAGACACTGTGGTGAGCCATCTCCTGAAGAGGCCTTTGCTGGACCCAACCATCCTGGACAATTTCTGTCCAGTCTCCATTTTTGGGGGAAGGTGGTAGAAAGGGTGGTCAGGCTTTAGTTCCAGAGAATCCTGGAGGAAGTGGATTATATAGACCCATTTCAGTTGGCTTTTAGGCCAGGTTCAATACGGCAAGAACCCTGGTCACTCTTGTTGATGATCTGTGGTGGAGCCACAGGAACGAGATCCATATTATTTCCACTGTAATGACTTTCCAGAAATTAATCTATATACACACACATGAGCCACCCAGAGTCATTGCAGAGTTGGACAGCCTCTAAATCAAATAAAGAAAATAAAAGCAAATAAGATAAATTTTGTCCTCCACAGAGGTGATAACAAAGTTGTCTGAATGCTACTCAGCCCAGCTGGACAACATGAATGCTGAGATTCGTATCCGCTGGCTGCAGATCATTGTCCGCAACGATTACTATCCCGACCTTCATAAAGTCCGTCGCTTCTTGGAAACCCAGGTACCAGCTGCTGGGTTGAAAAGCTTTGTGTTGCTCAGGGTGTGAGACCTGTTGATGTACAAAGGCCTGGGAATTTCTGATGCTTGGTCCCGGGAATAGATGTTTGTATGGCGTTTGTTGGCTGAGGCAGTGGAAAGGGAGGACTGTGGGCAGATACCTTTGTGTTCAATTCCATAGTGTAAGCAGTGTAGTTTCAGCTCCACTTGACTCCCCCGTGGCTGATTGCTGTTTACCTAAGTGGTTTGAGCCCCTGCTTTTCCTAATTTAGCTTTAAGCTTTAGCTTTCCTAATTTAGAATTAGGAAACTAATTCCCCCCACCCCAGACAGACCCAGCTTTTTGCTAAAAATTGGGCCAGTCATACTCTCTCACAGCCCAACCTACCCCACAGGGGTTTTGTTGGGGGATAAAGGGCAAGAGGGAACACTGTGTATGCCTCCTTGAACCAAAAGGCAGGATATAAATCCGATAAACACAAGCAATAATGGAATAAATACAGGTAGTCCTCGCTTAATGACCATTCAGCGACCATTTGGAGTTACGAACCTACTGAAAAAAGTGACTTATGACCAGTACCAGAAGTTATGGCCATTGCAGCACCCCTGTGGTCATGTGATCAAAATTCAGGCACTTGGTAGCCTGCCTGCACTTACGACCACAGGGGCATTTCAATTCCCCCCATCCCCTATC